TTATTTCTACCATTGTCATCATCACTAGTGTTGTGATCCTCGATATTATCATCATTCTTATCACAAAAAACGATAATATCGCAGCACAAAAGATTTCGTTGGTTGGACGAAATGAGCGCAGAACGAAATTTTGCCATGAATTCTAAATTTTTATGGGTGCATAATTGCACGTTCATTTTGCAAATCACATTATTTCATCGTCCGCGAAAAATTTTATGTTAATTGATTTCGTTCGTCTTCAGGTGCTTCTTTAATATTTCATGGTTCCTGCTTTGATATCGTCTTCTTTATGAACACATCATGTAAGTACAACACCTTTCTATTGCGTTTCGAAATGTTTATTGTGAATTTTCATTTACTCTAAATTCACGGTGATCCCGTCATATCCATCAAAAATAACTCACTTTCCAACATCACTCAACTCGCGAGTGATACTTGCTCCATACGGTTACAGAACACTCTATTTGTTTGATCTGAGTTTATTGCCTTAAAGCCCTCAAAACCTCAACTTCGTGATCACAATGCTTAAAAATCATAAGGACATGCGAGCTCATCATACTTCATAGTAACACACAATACATGATAATAATGATTACAACGCATTATGATATGTGCATTCATCAAATGGATTTTGTGCACTTTGAGCTTATCGCCAATTCAGTTGATGTGATCGAAATTCAGTTCAGTAGTGATCTGAAAACGAACTGCAGAAACGATCATCCCAAGAAAGATATAATGCAACACATCACGATATTATCTGCAGTAATTTCTCGGCATATAAAACCTCTAAGCCACTACTATGTCGAACACCAATCAACGATGTCATGTAACATACAGATTGACCATGGCTCGGATTAAACGAATACTATATGTGTTCAGATACTGTTAATCATCATTTCCAAGCTACTTAGAAATTTACTCATTCATTTATTCGACCAATTAATACATACTTCAAGGGTGATGAGACACGCTCCCGACACAGAGTTGGATTTCATACAAGGGAATGGAAAAGAAGAATAGTCTCATTCAAGCGTGCATCATCGAAGATTGTAGAGTTGTAATTACAAGTTATATCTCGAACAAATCTCAGAACAATTCTAATTTAAATACAAGCAGCTTAGCAAGTTTCCTAATGAATCATCAGATACTGTTAATCATGACACAGCAACTTTCTTTCTGTTCACAGCAGATTTCAACGCAATCGTTGGCCAAAAGAGAGCACGTTATCTAGTGTTGTGCCTGACAAATGTTGTTTATGCACTGTACCGTTGAACAATGAACACTGATCACAACAGCGATATCATTACTGTTAATGGCTTCTCGTCGTGATTTTAGAGTATCATTCGAAACGTTTATGTTGAATAGCACTGATTGTTAGAAAAGGTTCCAAGCACACTTGAACTGTTTGAAAGATAAATCGTGATAACAATTGATTTGAACCCGCATAACATCGAGAAACTAACCCGTCGTATCCAAACGGATCATTTTAGGAATTTTGTGAACGATATCAGAAGGCAGATCGCATCCAAATTTATCTTTGCCAGTCTTTAAAATCCCTCCATTTTGAAAGGTGAATGCAGAATTGAAAGATGCCGTAAACTCAGATCTTTGATCAGTTAACAGTGGTGCATTGATAAATCAAATATCCAACCAAAATTTGAAACGAGTTGATTAAGGTGATTGACATATCGAAGCGCAGCAATATCATTAATTTAGAACACTGTACACAGTTCTTTTATTTTGCTCGATTATTTTGGTTATTCTTGAGGATGATGAAAAATGATATGCACCGACAACTTTTTTATTCAAATTTGAATCCATCCACATCATGTGCGACCGAGAATGAACAATTAATGTTCTCTGAATATGTGACAACTGTTTGATTGAAACTATATTAGATGAATGCTTCGAGAAAATTTTTAGAAATTCGTTTTGCTGAAATGGGATTATACTTTTGTCAGTGTCAACTGCTCATTGTCAGATATCTCCCGATAGAAAGGGTTTTCGTCTCTCTCTTGCGAGAGCAAGTCTAAACCCAGGAAGGTTCATCACAAAGGTGAGCCCGTACATTCGATAGAAAACGGTATGTCAGGAACAATACTGCTGTCTTCGAAATTTTGATTTCGGGTCTTTCGACTTGCACTTTCGAAACAACTGGTGAATTCGGATGGGTCTTTGCTTGAAAACGATAACAGATCAAATGAAAACAGTCAAATAAAAGTTATTAACAACGAAGAAATTTGTTCTTTTCCTGCTGTCGTCATCATCACTTTCGTCAATTAGCATTCATTCTTTCAAACTGATATCACAAGCAATGACACGCCTTCTGTTCACGTTGTTTTGATATATGGTCCATAACGAGAACTGTACGTTAGATAACCATCATAAAGTCGTTGACAGTTAGATGAATAGCAACTGCATTGTCAATATTTTTGTAGTGCATTCGTTTACGTTCATCATATTATGAAACCGAACACAATCAGTAAGTAATTCATTGGCGTTATCAATTCGGGAATATTGATCTGATCAGATGCATATCAGTTTATGATCGAGAAAGCCACATCACGACTGATTTTGAAACAGTTCACAATAAGTGCAAATAGAGATGATTGTGAGCAGTATACGTCCCTTAATTATCAGTTAAATCCCATGCTGAAAGGAGCATAATTTTGACTGCGTCCTACATTTTGCAGAACAACACTGGATAGAACTGAAATACTTATTTGTTATGCACGAAAGCAATGCATAAACAATAAATTCCACGTTCATAGTGTAGTCAAAGAGGAAAGAGGTGTTGGGTAATTGAACCGATCACCTCAAACTTCGGTAATTAAACCCAGTTGAGGTAATCGGTTTAATTACCCAAGGTTGAGGTGATCGGTTCAATTACCCAAGTTTGAGGTGATCGGTGCATGTGTTCCGCAACAATACTTTTAAAACGCATCTCTAACATATTTAAACAAGTAACCAGATGACAGACTTTTGATGTATAAAATCATGACTTTTGCGAGATTTGTCATTTCCCGATTACAGAACGAACTCAGCAATCAAGGTGAATCTTTAGAATTACCTCCGTTGCTTCCTCCATGGAAATGAGAAATGGTAATCAGCGAAAAATACCAACGAATGATCGTTTCTCTCCTGATTGCGCCTAAGATCATCCATATCGTTTTGCACCTTCACTTGATTCATTTATTTTCGACTCTATCGTCTCTCAGCTCGTTTTTTTTTTTTGTAAACTGAGAGGTTAACAAAATCCGTATTTAACTGATTAACAACAAAGGACGGAAGAACCACATAATTAGAATTGCTCTGATGATGGAACACCAATGTCATCAATCTGGAATCGACATCACCATCAGTACACCAAGATTTTCGTCGTCACCATCAGTGCAGCATTTTTCCGTTGAATTTTCCTCGATCGTTCCGTTGTCCTTTCAATCCGTTTCATTTTTTCGGATTCAATTTTGACTGATTAACAGCGGTAAACTTGAATGATTCCATGTCCAAGAAGAGTTCCATCAGTGCTTGCAAAATATTTTGGCAAACAATTTTCGTGTTGTTTCAGTTGGTTTATTATCGTTTCGTTCGGTTCATTGATGCTGACGATAGTTTTGCGTTTGTTTCAAATTTGTACTGTCATCAGTTTTTTTGTGAAAGGTAGTAATATCTTTAAATTGATTTTGCTCTTATTTGTGCAGTAGCTCACGTCACAGCAAATCACGGTCACTTTGCAATTTTTTTGGAACGAAAGAAGCAAAAATCAATTAGTTGTTCTCTCATTACCACTACAGAGCCTTATCTTAGAAACTAGTACAACGATGCTTCGTAGCGATCAGCTACACACTCTTAATTCACGCATACTCCGATTAAAAGCATCACTAACAACGCCC